TGTATTTTAGAAGCTAAAATACATGAATGTACTCTTATCTTATTTTCAACAATAAGAAAATTTACAATAATTTTAACCTTACTACCTCTAAAAGAATTTGGATCAAATGGGATTCTTCCCACTTATCCTTCTCACCTTCCTTTTTCTCTTCTCAATTGATTTATGGCACTCTTTCTATTGGGGTCTTTTCAACTTATTTTCCAGTTGGTCGTCTATGTGACTAACTCGGCTGGTGATAGGAGATTACTTTGGAATCATTTAAGGGGACTTGTTTCAGATGCCTCTCAACCCTGGATTATTTTGGGTGTCTTTAACTACTGTAGGTATGACTGAGAAAGCTGGTGGTTCTCCCTTATCAGTTTGAAGGCTGGGGGAGCTTAACAACATCACATTTGGTTGTGGGGTTCAGTGTCTGACCTCTATGGGTCTCTTTTATACTTGGTTCGATCAAAGGATTGACCAACACATCCATATTAAGCTGATAGGGCCTTTCTAAATGATTTCCCCCCCATCCTTCTACAAAGTTGTTCCTCCTATGTGCTCTGACCACTCTTTTTTGGTCATTCATGCATCCTCCCTCTGTATAACCCCCTGGCTATTCCTTTTCAAGAACTATTGGGTCCATATGGATGGATTTTGGGAGGAGGTTATGGCTACTTTTTCCAGACCTGCCCCTTGCAGCCCTGTTGCCTCCTTATATCATTGTCTTCAAAGTCTTAAATGAAAGTTGAAAGGTAAATCCTAGGCCTCGTCCAATTTTCTTACTAATTCCATCTTTGAATTAAAGAGTAGGAAACATCTTTGCCTTACTGAGCTTCAAAATTCCCCTTTGGATCTTCATTTAAACTCCGACCAGATCAATTGGATGTTATGCAAGCTTCCTAGGCCTCTTGGATTTCTCAAAGAGACAAGGCTTATTGGTTCACCAAGGGGGAAGATGTTCTTAGCTTTCTTTAATTCAAAATTTGGGCTAGGCACAACAAAAACTTTTTAAGGGAAGTATATACCCCTTTGGGAATTTACCTCTCAATCTGATAATGTTGCTGCCATTTTCATCATTTTGAGGGCCTTTATAACTCTCCTAAGCCATCCAATGCAACCAATTTATGTATTCCCACGGGTGACACTATGCCTCCAAATTTAATTGGTTCACTTATGGCTCCTTTCTCTAATGAGGAAATCAAAGCTGTTGTCTTTAATGGACAGAGCTCCTTGGCTCTTGGCCCGGATGGTTTTTCCTTTGCTTATTATAATCTCAATTGGCACATTATTAGGTTACAGGTTTGCAATGCCGTTAAAAGCTTCTATAGCATTGGTTACGGACCTAAATGTGTGAAAGCCCCAGCCATCACTTTGATCCTTAAGGGCTCTCAAGCAACCAATATTTTTTACTTCAAACCCATTTCCTTGTGTAATGTATTTTATAAAATTACATCTAAGCTCCTTGCCAACAGGCTCAAACCTATCTTTCCTTATATTATTCATGATAGTCAAGCTGGCTTCATCAAGCATAGATGCTCTACTGATAACATTTTATTGGATTCAGAGGTGTTGAGAGAATTCAAATCTTCTCAAAACCTCTTTTGTGCCAAACTTGATATTATGAAAGCTTTCGATTCAGTGTCCCATGACTTTCTACTTTGCAGGATGCAACAAAAAGGCTTTCTTGAGAGGTTTATTAAATGGGTTAAGGGTTGTATCTCTAATGTCTATTTTCCATTTGCTTAAATTGTTTTCTTGAGGGCTTCTTCAGTTCCTCTTTTGGGCTTTGCCAAGGTTGCCCTTTATCTCCCCTCATTTTCTGCATTGTGATGGACGGGCTCTCTTATTGTCTGCTCCCTAACCCCTCTTCACCTATCCCGGGCATAAACTGATATGGGGTTAATTTTTATCATTTGTTGCATGCAGATGATTTTCTAGTTTTTGGTGCTTCTTCTCCCTCTACTGCTGCTACCTTAAAAGATGCTTTATCCTTATTTGTTGGGGCCTCGAGCCTTCACATTAATCCCAATAAGAGCTCTATTTTGTTCTTCAAAAATGCCTCTTTCACAGAGAATATTTGTGACATTCTCAGGATCTCTAAGTTGGACTCCTACCTTAAATACTTTGGGCTTCCCATTTCCCCTTCAAGATTGAATTCTACTCACTTCCAACCAGTGCTGAGTAAAATTTTTACTCTATTTGATGATTGAAAAGTTAAATTTCTTTCTATTACATGTAGGGTCCAATTCAACAAGTTCACAACTGCTAACACAATTGCCTATTGGATTAGGGACCCCATCATACCTAAGGCTTGTCGTAAAACCATCTCCAAGCTTTGTTCTAGGTTTTTATTTCATGGTTACATTAGTGAGAGGAAGTTTCATGTTATTGCCTTGAATGATACAATGATACAACTCTTCCAAAATATTTGCGAGGCTTAGGGATTTCCTCTATTGAGGCTTTATATCACACCACTGCCTGTTCCATCATCTGTTGACTTTATAATAATAACTCCACTGTTAGCACTTGGTTTAGGTCCAAGTACACCTCCATTTGGAAGTAGCCTCCTACCTATGCTTCTAAAATCTGGAATTTTACTTGCCTCACTGCCTAGAAAATAAAAAACTCTATTACTTTTATTGTTTCCCCTCAATGCAATTTGTTTATGACTTGGGATCTGTGGTACAATGGAAAATCTTTAGTCGATCTCAAACCCTTGGATAGATTTGAGTCCCCTTTTGTCAAAGGTCGCATTGTTAACAATCAATGGGTGCTTCCTGCCTCTTGCCCTAAGCCTCTTCGTTCTGCTATCCTCGATATTCCCATAGGTGAGCAACCGGCTCTGACTTGGGATGGCTCACATAACCCTCTTTTAAGATCTTCATTGCTATATTTTTTAGCAATTTAGAGGAGGTCAACCTACATAAATTTATTTGGCACAAGTATCATGCCCTTAGATACTCTTGCTATGCTTGGATGGCAATAATTGAGAAGTTCAAATGTGTGAATTTGCTTATTAAGAGATCCATTCCTGTTAATCCATTCTGCTCCTTTTGCCATAACACAGGAAACTCATAAGCATTTATTTTTTGAATAAGATTACTCTTTCTTGGTAATCACCTCTATTTTGCCTTATTTTTTAGGGGTTCCTTTTTAGGCCGAACTTGCATTAAGTATATGAATTTGTGGACTGTTTGCAGCAATTTAGTAGTGGAGTTAAAATTTTGCTTCCTTGTCATGGCTTGTACTATTTATCATTTATAGAAGGAATGAAACTCTCATCGTTTCTTAGATCATTGGAATAGCCCCACCTAGCTTCTTTTTGTTATTAAGAATGTTGTTTTTTCACAAAGCTAGGAGATGTAATTGTTTCACAAGCTCAAAGAATGGTTTACTGTGCTCAATTGATCTCTATTAGGCTCTGTATTGGTTCAGTTTGCTAGTTTTTTGACAAGCTCAAAGAACAATTTTTTTGTACTCTTTGATCTTTGTTGGGCTCAATTTTGGTTCGATTTTCTGGCTTTTTGGTTCTGTTTTATTTTGGCTTACTTTGTTGCCTTATGGGTTTTATTTTTTACATGCATCTCTCTTTCATTAATATATGGGCTTTATCCCAAATTTTCCCAAAAAAAGAAAAAAGTAAATTATTCAAAAATCAAATCAAACTTTTTTATCAGAACAGCAAACTTCTTTAACGAATGAGTCCTAAGGGACACCTCAGCCATTATGGATGGTTCAAACAATTGCTACAACCACTCAATTTTAAACAGAATTAATGGCAGCTCAGCTGCCCCAAAAATAGCCTTCTCAGGCTTCTTAACATGATTGGGTGCCCTACATGAAGCACAATAGTTCCTCCAAACTGTTGGTAGAAAGTTGTGTGAAAGCACTTTTTAAAAAAAATATTATAGATATTATAAATTTTGTTTTTCACACTAAAAGAATTTAGGTTTCATTTGGGACGCTTTTTTTATTGCTTCTTAAAGTAGCTTTCTAGTACTTTAATTTTTGTACTAGAAGATTGCTTTAAGAAGCAGTAAAAAAACCATCCCAAACAAAATCTTAATGTTAAAATCTGCTGCTCGTGATAAAACTTTACAAAAAAAATAGTATGAATGTTATAGCTAAATAACAGAATAACAGCGGTCTGAAAAATAAACAGTGAAAAGCAAATTACTGCAAATAAACCCTGATATCAGCTTCTTAACTGCAACAGGCTTCTCTCTGACTCCAAAATTTTCCTTCTCTTTAAGTGACTGTTGCTCATTAGAAGGTTGAAGCAGTAGAAAATGTATTGAGGAACCATGCTCAGGATCTTCCAAACATCAAAGGGCAGAATTCACAGACATGGAAGGCAGCAGAGATTGCCTAGCAATAAGATGCAGTCCTACTGAATTTCAAGTCCTGATGAGATTTTTAAAAATATTAACTAGAATCACTTTGATCTGGTATCACTTTGCTTGGCAGACTAGCACACCAGCAAGAGCAAAGGCAAAGTTAGGGTAATTAATCATTAGATTATGAAACAAGCAGAGAAAACTGACACAGCCAAGTAAGCTCTTTTGGTGAAAATAGTTGCACATTCCTTGATTGTTTTGAGATTACATAACTAATATTGTAATGGAGGTTAAAAACCATGAAACATCATCTAAAGAATCATATTTATCTGCAGCCACCTTGAAAAATGTCTGCGAACCAAGCTCTCTTTCTCCCTCTCTCTCTTTCTCACACACACACACACTCACTCTCTAGATGAACATAAAAAAGCCTCTAAACTGGAGGCAAACATAGACGAGTGAATATTCTTGGAACTTCTGGGAAAGCTTTATTGCTTGCCGTTTGTGTGATCTTTACAAAATCCTCTGGGTGTATATGAGAAGACAGCTTGTGGGGCATTTACAAAAAGGTTACGCAGACAATTAGCATTCCTGCAGTCAGCTGTTAACACCTTGGCTCTTGCTTCACAGTAATGCCAGTAGGTGAATTGAACATGAATGCCTTCATGATATAATAAAATTCCAAGAAAAAGTAGTGAGAAGCATATTTAAAAACATGAACGTTTTCAGGAGAGGATACAAGCATGAATCTGTTGATAAGGTTTGTTAATATGCAAGACTGGAGAATATACAACAGATGCTTCTCTAATTTGAAATTAACTAGCATTCTAGTTTAAGATGCATACATGAAAAGAATAACAACCTAAATTTGCAAATATAATATCTCCTCTACTATCCATATTTGGGATATATTTGGGGCAACTTTGTTATTGTTTTATTTTTCAAATCTCAACCACAGTTTTTATTTGGATAATACTTTCTTGCTGTTTTGAGAGCTTTTTGTGCTAGGAAGCTACTTTTTACAATAGGTTTCAAAAATTTTATTTTCTACACAATAGCTTTACAATCACCTTTATAAAAAGTCACAGTTGTCTCAAATAGATCCTTAGTGTTAAGTATTGATATGGTAGCATGCCGGTGAATTTAAAAATACAAAAAAAATAATACATACTAGTTACAAACGTACACATTTCCTTCGAGAAATTTATTCAGGAAAATATGTTTTAAGTTGATAACATGAAACTCATGGTGGCATTTGTCATATACATGGCCTGCTACTAATAGTATCTACAATAAAAATATACGAGAGTTTTGGAACCCACCCTTACAGGAAAAAAACATTGGCTGATAGAGCTAAAAGGCCTTGGATAACCATTCCTATATATATATCCAATAATCTCAAATTTCCTTTGTAAAATAATGGAAATAGTTCGTTTGCTTAAAACAAAATAAAATATTTTGCTTCTCATTTTCTCTAATTTCTTTAAACTCTAAAAGTACCATGCTGTTTTGCTCACATGTGCTCCATTCCAGAATACTCATAAGTATTCTATTACTCAAAATCACTATCTTAGACTGGCAAACTAAATATCATACACATGATGCTTCCATCTGTACATTCATGAGTTTGTACATACTTTCAGTGATACTTTTCTGCACCATAACCACAAATATCGTGCTAATACAGGCCTAAGCTTAGAAATAGGCTGTTGAAGGGGGAGAACTGTATCAATATAGGAGCTCATCATAAGGGCTGCAAAAGATTTGAAAGAAAAATCGAAAGAATCAAAAAAACAAAAAACCCTAACAAGTTAATAAAAAAAAGATTATATTTAGTTTAAATATTAATCTTCCTATATAACAGGACCACACAAGTTCCCCCATATTCTAAAGGGTATCAATTCTAGGAGATGGTGCCCTTTAAATATAAGGCTTATGAAGCCATTAAGATAAAATTAACAATTACAACCACATAATATGCCACAGAATATATCGTTAGAATATTTGTTATGCTAAAAATATTCACATAAAATTTTGAGTCAAAGGTTCTATCTCAGAAACACCAAGCAAGGGGGTCCACCCCCCTACAATGCCCTACTGACTTAGCATTAAGTTTAATCCATATAAGTAGGAAAAGAATAACCAAGAAGGATCAAGTCAATAATTACGGATCTGACTCATAAACCTTCAACAAAAATCATTGTCAAAATATTGGCCTAAATTGGAAAAAGTCCAACTATCAAGAATAATTTTTGACCAAGATACAACTAGTTGCATGTTGAATGGGATTCCCATAAAATATTAGATTGCAAGCTTATATGTCATCTAACATTGGAATTCAAAACACACATGGTGTTAAAAAGAAGGATTGTTATGCAAAAACTCATGGAGGAAAATCACGGGGCCTGACTCTAGTGTAAAGATCAACTAAAAATGGGGTACAAGGTTCACCTCCAAAAGGTTGGAGAGACATCAATAAAACTTGCAAATGAAGTTATTAGAATGAAAATGAAGACATTGAGGTCTCATATGCTAGTGGCCACATACACTGACCATAGGTGTGGAAGAGGTAGGTGATGATAGTGTTGACCACTATATCTCAAACCACGTGAGAAAGGACTCCAATTGGCGAATAAAGCATTACGCACCTTGGCGCCATGCATCACTTGAAAGTTCAAAAAACCTTTAATTGCCAAACAGATTGTGTCGTTGCGATCAGGACGTCGAATTCTGCTAGGTTGAGGCCTCTCGTAATTGAATCGGATGAGATTGGTCAAAAGGCGACCGACACCCGAAATTAAAGCGCGAGGCTGATCAAATAATGTCAGATCAACAAACGGACTTCGTCATTATGTTCAGAATATTGTAAATATTCAAAAATTGTATTTTATTTGTTCAGTTTGGATCATCCTAATGAGTGACATGAATTTCGAGACAACGCGTATTTCAAGGAATCAGGCCTCGACGTCGCTCAGATGACGTCCGATCATGAAACGGACTATGCCATTGCGTCCGGAACATCCTCGACATTCAAAATATACATCTTTTGTGATTAATTGGGGTCAATCGTAATGGTGGCATGGATCCCAAGGTAATAACACGCATATCGAGGAATTTGGCCCTCGATGTCGCCCAAACGATTTCAGACCGACAAACGGACAGTGTCATTGCGTCCGGAACGTTGTCTACATTCAAAATATATATTTTATTTAATGAATTTGGATTGTCTGAGATGGTGGCGAATTTCTATGCAATTCAAATATGATATCAAGGCATGCGTTACGATGGAAACGAGGTCTCGAAGATGCTCGGATGACGTCCGATTGACAAACGGACAGCGCCATTGTGTCCGGAACGTCGTCGAAATTTAGAATATGCATTTTTTTAATAAATTTGGATCATTTGAGGTGGTGGTGAATTTCTAAGCGATGCAAATATGATTTGAAGGCCTGCGTTATAAGGGAAACGAGGCCTCGACGATACTCAAACGAAGTCCGATCGACAAACGGACAGCGTCATTGCGTCCAGAACGTCGTTGGCATTAAGAATATATATTTTATTTGAATAAATTGGATCGTTTGAGGTGGCGTCGTAAATTTCAAAGGCGATTCAAATATGTTGCAAATGCACTCATTTCGAGGGAGATTAGCCTTGACGATGATCAAACGATGTCCGATTGCAAAACGGACTACGTCATTGGGTCCGGAACACCGTCAAAACTATGAATGCAGTGCCAATTTATTTGAATGAGGTTTTGCGCGCAAATCGAGACATAGGCATTCCGAAGGAATTAAGCCTCGTCGCCACCCAAATGGTGTCCAATAGTGAAACGGACTGCGTCGTTGTGATCGGAACATCAGCAATACCCTAAATTCACTATTAATTTGTCCAATTATATTATCGGGAAAATTGGCACGGAAAACGAGGCAAGATCCACGTAAATCGAAGAATCGTGCAAATCGAGAAGACCTTGGAATGATGGATGATACATTTGTGTCAGCTCGAATTAATGTAATAGTGACATATCATTAACTTTTTTTAATTCAATTAACAATATGGAAAAGTCAAAAGCAAAGTCAGAATCAAATTAAATGCAAAATATCTCTTTTTGGCAAAGCTTCAGACCTCATATCTCTGACTAAATCCCGTAAATCCAGCTTCGAGTGTTGTTGTTCTGGTTTCAAACGGAGCTCTATCACTAAAATGAAGTTAAATGAGCTTTGCCTGTTTGGGGATTTCTGGAAAATCCCATATGCAAACTCTTCTCTGTCAAGAGCCTCAACCCATGCAAGAGCTGCTCCAGTACAACTCCTTCCTCCAACCTCAGCCGAAGCGGCTTACAGAATCGAGCTGCTCTCCTACTGTATCTCACGTCCCCCTCCACCTCACGTTGAACTATTGCAGCTCAAGCCAACATCCATTGATGATCTCAGCCGTTATCTCATCCTTCATATCTTACCTTACCCGTCTACAGCAAGATGCCCTCCTTCACGCCAAAGTCACAAACAAACCAGCCATTGCAGCCTCCGTCCAAGGCCCTTGATCACGTCAAACTTCACCTACACAAGCCGTCCTCTCTAAGCCGCATGCCTACCTTCTCTTCCCATCCGCCTACATGTCCAATGCCAAGCCGAGACCCATGCCACTACAGCTCTTCATCTCCAAATCTTTCCATTTCATCGATTCATTTCTTCCAGCTCTCTGTTCGACTCAAGCAAGCTGGTTGAAGGCATCACTTGATACCTCAAGTCTTCTGGCTCTTGCTGCAGTCCGCCTCCTAACACTTGCCTCCACCTACCGCCATTCTCACAATCAGACGGAAGCCATCTAGCCTCACAACTGATCCAAGATCCAACAATCCGTTTATGTGGATGTTTCTTCAAAAGAACTGTGCAAGGTTCATGACAAGGTAGCAAAGCATGCCATGACAGTCAAATATGGAGCAGGCAACAACAGTTATGCAGGCCTTATGCTCTGAGGCGAAGGGATCAAAACATACGATGGTTACCAGCAAGGTTCCCGCCACTAAGAGGTCCATGGTGGTGAGTTCTCAGTTGTATAGCAATGGAGACAACGATGCTGATCAACTAGAAGAGCCAGACCAAGATGAGCTTAGTGAATCAGTAGGTGATTGTGAAGAGCAAGATGCTGAAAATTGAATGAGCCACTTTGAATCCATTCCATGAACTTCACCTCCAACTAAACAGATGAGGAAATTGATTCCCGGCAAGGGTGCTTATGAGAGTATTAAAAGCTTCTTAACTATTATTCATGCTGGAGGATGCTTTCCTTCCTCAGAAGCTTGCTGGGGAGAGTTCAGAACTTGATAAGTGATGTGCCAACGAAGTAGAGTAGTCAACAACTGAAGCTGCTCGGGAGGAGGAAGAATGGATGAAAGAGCTTGAAGGTATCAGAAATTAGAGAACTTCTCTCTACAACACAAGAGCTTTAAAGGGTGGAGCAAGAGTTATTGATGATTACTGAGACAAAGAATGGCTTACTAAGCCATACTGATAATGCAATAAAGATTGCTGAGAGCAATGTAGAGAAGATGGAAATGCTATCTGGAGAAGTCAGCCATCTTAAATCCTTGCTCGGTCTGGGCTTGAAAACCATTCCAAGGAGATGGAAGAGACGATCAATAAGTTTGATTTTGAGGCTATGGTTTTAGAGCTTGAACTTAAAAAGGCAAAGGGCCGGCTGTTGAGGGGAAGTTGTTTGATGTCAAAGCATTAGTCGAAATGCTGAAGGTTCAGCTATTAAATAAAAATAAAATAGCTGAATTAAATGCACTTCATCATGTAGATGAGAAAAAGAAGAAGTTAGAACTTTAGAATCTCAATTGGAGAAGAAAAAAAAAAAAGAAAGATTTTCCAAGGAAAAAGAAAAAAAAAGAGTTAAAAAAAAAGAGAGAAAAAGAAAAGAAAAGAAAAAAAAAAGAAAGAGATTTCAAAAAGAAGAAATGGTTCTTTTCTCGATGCTTGCGACGGGCCGGCAAACCCTCAAGGCGCTCACGTAGCGTTGAGGGTGGGAAACCGGTGCGATGCTCGCAACGATTTAAGAATCCCTCTTCAAAGCTTGCAACGAGCGGGCAAACCCCCGAGGCGCTCAAGTAGCGTTTAGGGTGGGAAACCGGTGCGACGCTTGCGACGAAGGGGATAAAAAAAATGTATTTTTATTTTATTTTTATATAAGTACCCCCGAACGCCCACGTGGTGCAGCAAAGGGGGGAAATCCTGCTTATTTCTAACACCTGTTTTCTTCTTATAATAAACAAACCTAAAAAACCCTTAAATGCTCACGTAGCAGGCGGGGATAAAAATTTTCATTCGCGGACGCCGCCGGTGGTCATTTTTTGACAACCTACTGAAGCGCTCACTCGTAGCGTCGATGGGAATGGTTGCTCTTGGTTTTTCCCGCTAAACCCAGGGAGACGCCGGGAAGCTGCCGAAATTTGGATTTGAAATCCAAGGACTTAAATAAAAATGATGAACTTGGACTTGTTCGAATCAATTGATGTGGAAGAATGGGATTGCAACAAATGACTTAATTGAACTTGGAACCACAAATGAATTCAATTCTAATTGAAACGAATATGAACATGAACCTGATTCCATTAGAACTTGATTGAACTCATTTTGAGCTCGACACGAACTCCAAAGACAACAGGGACATGCATTTGAACTTAAACTCAAGTAGAAGACTTGTAAGCTTGAGCTCAATCCTTGAACTCAAAGACTAGCAAATGAACTCAAGCATAGAACATAAGTGAAACTGACTTTTAACATTCAAGTTGATTATATGAACGAGATCAAGATATAATGTGAACATCAATAGAGAACTATAGAGTGATTTGAAAGGATAATCAACTTCCAATTAGAGTTATCAATCCAAATTGGAAATCCAATGCTGATATGGCAAATTCCTTTCAAGTGTGAACCTGAAATCTGTGTGAGCAATAGAAATCCAATCTTATATTAATCATTCAAATGAAAGAAGGGTTGATGAGCTTGATCTCAATTTATCACAAATAACTTGTGAGTACAATTTGAGTTCACAAGTGCAAGAAAGAGCATGAAGAATATGATTTTTTATATCAAGTCATATTTTTGGGAGGAGGCCAATTTGAATCGTAAATGGCTCATTTACAAAATGGAAGCGATGTACCCTCAAGCAACGATCAATAGAGATGGCAAAAAATTAGAGTTCAAATTTCATCGACCATATACTAATGTTATTACTTGCATCTGGGTCCAATGATGATGTATTGGGCACGCCGATTGATGTTGCTTGGAAGTTGGTAAACAGAGATATACAATCGCATGATCTTCCAGGCAAAGAAAATTCACCAAGCCATAGAAGATATGCGGCGCTTTGTTCTTAAACCAATAAGTTAGAGTACTATGTGGATGTTGGAGAATCTCTGTTGATTGAAACACAAGCACAAAGCACTACAGAGTCTCCAATACAAGCGCGATAATCTGATGAATTTGATGGCCCGAGCCTACAGTAACAACGCAGAAGAAACACGACAATGCAGTTACCTCACAAGTAGTAAGTAATAGTTATGCTACAAAGGTGAGGGATCTTATAAACATACAATATATCCACGCCCAATGAAGCATCGTAATGAGGCGACCAATATCACAACACCTTTACAATCAATTCAATTGTCCAATGTAAGGCAAGTACATTGATCCGTTAACAAGCAATAGATTGATGATACTACAACAAAATACAACTATCCATGCAACTAAAGGCAGGAAGATTAGTTTAGTGCACTACGCCCCTGCTGAGAGATCAACAAATAGTGCACGCATCACGTACCTGACAATGCAGCGAATAATCTATTCAGAAGCTGCTACGCCACGCCACCCGGATTTGCAATCTCCGTACAAGCAGACAGAAGGAATTTACAAATAATTTTAAAATACCCCTGCCGTGCAGCTATAAACTATATCACATAGGTACCACTAAAAGGGTAATATAAAAATCAACCGCAAGGGCCCCGGCGAGCGTGTTATTGGACACACGTGATGTCTAGGGATGCTGCGCGGGTTATAAATTTTATAACCCGAATCCTCCTTAGCAAGATAAAAAGAAGTGGACATGGTTCATTATAAAATGCCCCCAAATACCCGCATTGGGCCCGGGCAAAGCGTGTTATTGGTACAACACGTGACGTCTAAGGGAACGCTGCGGCGGGTTGACAAGTGAATTTCAGGTTCGAAACCGAATCCGTCTAATACGGTCAATAGATAGTTCAGACCCAGGTTCGAACCCTTAAACAAATATACGGTTGTGGGACCGTTTATATTTGGTCTTAATACATTCATATTAGGCCTTCAGGGCTATAACAATAAGAATTCACTACAAGGGCATAAAGCCTACGAAACCTGATCCTCTGTCGACAGCCCGATAGAGTTGAACAAGGTTCAATCCATAAAGGTAACATGACCCCAAACACCCCGACTAATGGCCCGGTTGATTGAAGAAATCCAACCGGAGGGTCGCATTCCAAACACTTTCAAAAACACCCAAATACTCAAGAACTCCGAAATACCCATAAAAACTCAAAAATTCCAAAATTCCAAAAAATGTTTTAAAATAAGAAAAAAAAAAAAAAAAAAAAAAAAAAAAAAAAAAAAAATAAATCCATCAAAATTAAACAAAATCCATCCGCCCTCCGCAACAGTTTGTCGAGGCGGACAAATTCAAATAAACTCTAGCTCACAAAGAGCCGAATGCCTAGTCGAAAATATCACTAGGATCCATTCTAAAAAAAAAGTCTATTGCTAGTAAGGACGTGGTACGTGTCCTCTAACCGGCAGTTTCGCCGCCAAATGGCACTGCAGGTAAACGGTTATGACCCGGGGCCCTCTGAACCGAGTGGTTTTGCCGCCAAATGGCACCACAGATAGCAGTTATGGCCAGAGCCAATACGCTCCTTAGTGGCGTTAAATCCTTGAGATATGAATCAATAGGATATGATCGATAGGGCACAAAGCCCTTTGTTAGCTAAGGTGGATTTAAATTTGTCCCCTTAGACAAACATTCAACCCCGGTCTACAAGGTCCCCTTGGACGAAGCAACCCATAGCTGCCGACAAGGATCCTTCTGTCAGGTTGGGTCGACTACCTCCTCTGACTAAGTAGACCAGGGACCACGATGGCCCGGGACGACGGAACCATGGGATCTTGATCGGGCCCATCATCCATTCCCCCACCATCCGCTTTAAGTGAAAGATGGTGAAATTTCTATTTTAAATATTAAATCTTTCCAAATATCCAAACTTCCCAAATTCACAAATCCAAATTCAATTTCTACCAGTATCCTAAACCATATGCTGCTATTATATGCCAGATAACACGTATACTCTACGTATCTGATTGACGACTAGCCTTAATCGAAAGTTCTCTCTCGTGATCGAGAGGGGTAATTAACTATAGGGGCTTGCGCCTATAGGAAACCATAACTCAGATCATAAAGTCCTCACAAAATGAGGGCGAAATCTCTGGGTAGTGTCTTATCTACAAACTCATCTGCCTTCCAAAATTTACCTCGGAACTTAGTTCGTTAAAACTCCCTCGCTGAATAAGAAAAGCGAGTGGAGGCCGAGGCCAAATTTTCGGAGCCCACAGATAGGGTCAAATACATTTAAGGGCAACATTAGCATAAACAACAACATTTTCGGATAGTATAGGCATGAATTATAGTTAATCATCAATATTAACTAATAATAATTTGTTTATGACAGCTCACCGCTAATGAGCATCACATTCATCTTCATCAGTAAGCATCGCTATCTTGCTAACGAATATAACAATGATGCTTATATGTTTTCCGCAGAGATTTGGAGTAGTCTCCAAATCTCTAGAAGATTACAAAGGATGCCACAAATGTTGAATTTGAGCACCATTTGTAGATTTTTTTAAACATGCTATTTTGGTCCTTGTCAAAATTAATTTTAATGTTTATTTATAATGAGCCGTAGAGATTGAAGCATCACATGATATAAAATTGAGAAGATGAACATCTCATTGAGTCATCCCACCTAGTTGGCCCAGGAGTATGGTTTCCATCATTAATACAAAGATTCCACATTGATTTCAAGATCAAGAAAGCTTTATAGGTGATAAATGAATTTAAGCAAATGGATTTGTGGCCTCTCAAATACATCCAACAGAAATTTGAAATGTCAAAAACCATTTTCTGTTCATCAACTCGTCTCTCTGTGGCACACAAAACAGTGAACCATGGAAGACCCAATCATTTATAGAAGTTCTAAACTTTTGATGAGGTTTGCACAATAACAAATGCACATCGATAGACAGCTCCAAGAGATACTTGAATCGAACCCAAGGAATCTACTTCACCCAAGAAAGTGCCCAATCATAGCTAACTTAAACAAGCCAGAAAATGGCCAGGTTAGGATGACACAACTCAATTTGAGGCCTTTCAAGTACTAGATAAATTAGTCTAATCATTCATACACTCAACTCAACACTCTAAATTCCACTGGAGGTTGATAGTGTTCTTGTAACTTTGTATGGGCTTTGGTTCAATTTAACTGAGTCAAACTGACCTCCAGCTCAATCAGAGAGTTACCTCAAGTTCCATGCTTTTGTTAAAAGTTATGCTAGATAGTATAAGAATGTTTAGGATCCCAACGCAACCATAGAAGAATTTGATGGTAACATTACAACTAAAGAAAGTTCTACAGCAAAATATTTAAACTTTGTCTGCAATCATGAACAATGTATTTATAATATATATTAACTTACTAACAGATGTAGTACTGCCTGTAGTAGAGGGCTTTACACTAGAGTGGCTAAAAATTTGGAGCTACAGCAAGTGTTTGGTTGACTAATTTTGAGATGAAGCATCTTGATGGTTTTAGAAATAGAAAAATTAAGGGCGATCTATGCAAAAGAAAATCTTTAGTTCTTCAAAGTTTGTAATAGTGCGAAAATCAGTCCTCGCCTATACGTGCACACATGGCTTCATTAGCAAGCATTTAAGACTGCAATTCTAGGAAGTGCACGAAAGTTTACCTGGCTTGTGTTTGGGAGGATGGTGGTAACAAGATCCTCGTTTATTGTTACTGGCAATGGTGGCATCTGACTCATTATTCCGGGCATTCCACTCATGCTATTTATTCACAGAAATATACCTTCTTTAGGAAAATGCATCGCAGAATCAACACAAACGAAAAACAACCATAGAAGTCATCAATTCAAAAACATGTTATACCTGTTGAGAATGGCTGTGATGTTATTTCTTGTGCGTAAAAAGAGATCAGCATTATCTTGAACCTAGGGAAAAACAAGAAGCTTTATGTAAATAAATTTGATCAGATTTAGAACATTAAACCTAATGAAATGCATCAAGTCAGATCATCATTGAAATGAATGGCCATCACATGATGTGTATCCTCCTAGAACACATTTGAAAATAAAATAACGTCAACCAATAAGCTTAACATGAGAAAGCACAATACAAGTTTGGATAATCAGAATAATTTGCATTTCTGACATCTGTGTAACAAAAAATCTGAGATATTGCGTATTGTTAGGAAAAAAACAAAATTCTAGCTCTCATTGTATCATGACAAATCAAATGAAAATGAAATTCAGCTAATGGCAAGAAATTAGGTTAATAGTCCAGTTCCAGTCCCTCAGAAAACGATTCAGAATGCTCCAATATAGAAATAGCACTTACATATAAAATTTTATATTCTACATTAAGAGTGCCAACCCTTACATGAAAATTTCAACTAACAAGACTAGGTCTGATATTCGGAATTCAACCCATGCAAATTCATAGTACAGAGTCAGACAATGAGATCATTATCTTTAGCCATAAAGTATCACTGCATTAATCTTCTACAATCCAGCAACACATGTTGATGGATTCAATCTTAGAAGTAGAACTGGATAAAGCAGGTGAAGCTAGCGGTACTTCAAAAGTTAGCTTCTTGTTATCCAAGCTCCAGTGGCACAGCCTGACCATCTTGATCCAACATATTCAGGCACAAATTCAGCTTCAGTGCTCTTAGTTACCTTGGTTAGCCTATGGTTGTACTGAAACTAATGCTTTATGTATTGTTATATTCTAAAGTTATTTCGTGTCCAAATGTATTTGCTACTCTACATATCTCTGTTTGGTTTGGATTTGATTTTTTTACCTGAAGCATGATCATAATTTAGGAGGCATCTTCCAAGATAGAGATATACGTACACAAAATTCAAATGTAGTCAAAGAATAACCTACCCCTGCATATAGAGCATACGTGTTCAACTGCTGACTTAAGATATGCAATAACTTTGCAGTTTATCAAAATTGTCCTGAACCTTTTATAATCACAAATCAAGAACATAGTTCTTGAAATGTCACCATCGTCAACCTCATCCAAAAATCCATGAAAAACAAAAGATTGGAATAATGAGACTAAAGTAATAATTGTATTAAATACAATTTGCTGTAGGTTTATGCACTAGCTAATAGATGGTGGTCTCAGTTTAATTAATTCTGTGAAGTGGCACAACCAAATTGATTTTCTGTAACACGACAACTATAGGAAAATTACTTATCAAACTAGCTCTATGTCCAGAAAAGAAGCATTAACAGCTAAAATAAGGTTAATACATTGGAAAATGGAAGGAATAATTATTATGAGACAATAGCGTAGAAACTGACAGAGATGAGTGATAAATGAAGGTTTAGCTGGAATAACTGTCTCAAGCAACTAGGAACTTACACTAATACACAACTGAATGATGAAATATCAGTCTTATGGTACAAGGATTAATGACTTAAGAGATGAATCATGGACATGGCTATAAATCAAATTAGAACATTAAAAACATTAAAACTTGAAAAAAAAAATTTTTTCCTTGCCTCCAAAAGGAAAAGCTAATATTTCATGAAGATATCAAATATATTTCCATAGAAACCTAAGATGGAAAATATTACCTATTATACCTGATTCTAAGGTTGGAAGCTGTCCAACAAACAGCGCTCAGCAAGGCAGTTGAACGTTATAGAAACAAGAAATTTAAAATGAATGTGCAGCAAAAATTATGGAGTATAATTGCAAAATGGATATCTCAAAATAATGCGAGCAATAATTAACAAGGGCTATAAGAGGTCAACTAGAATTTCAGGGCTTTTGAAATGGAGACAAGTACAAGGGAGGTAGATAATTAGTACATAGGGGCAAAATATAAATAGTTGTTGGCCAAAGTTAGCAATGTGAAGAATTCGTATAATAGGGATTCAGCATAATAATAACTAGCACAAATACCAATTTCAAATAAAAAGAATGGAGAAAGAAGTCTCATGGGGCTAATTATAAACGGTGGGATAGAAAGGGATACAGCAATACAAGGGCTGCATACAAAGAGAAGTTGGCCAAGGATATAAGCAAGCTAGTGGTGATATTAAACAATACAGTTTCATCAGGAATAAAAATGCAAGTTTTAAATAGTTTGTATAGAGTCATTCTTACTGCTGAAAGAAAATAATATAGAGGAGCCATCTCCTGTTTGGAATCAGCATTACACCCATCGAAATGTTGTCATGTTCTAAAAAGTAACAAAACTATCATGACATGCATATAGGCAACGCTATAAGCAAGCTAAAAAATTTTTCACAACTATCCAATGACAAGGCATAGCAAAAGTTCAAAAATATATTTGTAGTACTTTTCAGTAAAATTATTTTGAAGGCCCACATATAATATGATAAAAGCAAAGAATATTTGCAATTAATAAATGAAAACAGAGGTGAGAATAAAAATTTGAGGTTTATTTGATTAGTCTAATTCAACATGAGATTTCTCAGATCATTGTCTTAATTACAGATAAGTTGAAAATAGAACGCATTATTGGTTTTCTCAATGATAATAGTAACACAGACATTACTGCATTTATGGATATTATCTAGTACCGTTATCTCGTGGCCACTACTAGTCACCAAAGTTATAACAAAAAGAATCAAAGAACAAGAATTAACCGCTTACTTTTAATCTTTCAAGATTAGCTACAATCTGACCGAAAACTTGAGCATTTTCTTGGATAAGCCGTCGAATTGCATCATTGATCGCAGGAGCTGCATAGAGAGCAGAATGTTTTGTTTGAGACAAGAACCGAATGTTTTGTTTGAGACAAGAACAGAGGTAGAGTTCCCATGACTTCATATTTTTTGGAGAGAATCCCTTAAGTTAATATTATAATTTAGATGTCGACTAATACAGAAACAGTTTTAAGTATGAAAGCATATTTGAAAGAAGTGTTCAATATCAGAACAAAAGCATAATATTAGAGAATTTATCTGAAGAAATGTCTTCTAATGGACTACTAACTACAACAATAGGCAATGAATTTATACTTCAAGTGGAATCTTTTTATCTTACCAGTTGCTAATGATTGTAGAGCAAATTCTGGCTTAAGCAGCATTTGCCCAAACTTTTTCGCTGCTTTGTCATTTCAAGAAAGCTTCAAAGAATTAAAAACAAAGATGTTTGGCTGCAATACTTTGAAAACTCTCTCCCATAAAAACTCTGTTTCCACTCCATTTCCCACATATAGGCTTCGTTTGGAACAGCTTTCTTACTGCTTAAAGCATCTTTGTAGTACAAAAATAACTTTTGTACTAGAAAGCTGTTTTAAGAAGCAGTAAGAAAGCTGTCTCAAACGAAGACATAGTTGTCAACTGCTTTCCATGACACAACCCATTTTATCCTTTTTAAGCCAAAATATATCTACGTTGCCCTAAAACTATCAAAATGGCCGTCTTATTTATTTCTTCTTTCAAGAACTCTAACTATCATTCTTGCCTATTCTGCTATGCGCATTCACGTGTTTCATCTGCACCTTCTGCTGATCAAGCTCCTTAACCTCCAACGACACTAAAACTCCATCATGCTTCCACCAGCTCCCTTTCCTTGCATCTCACCGCTCTCCTAAGAAACCTAAACAGTGCACATTGCCTTCACTGATTGTATAGTAAGAGGATACATCTTTTGAATTTATTAGTTTTTTCGAGTAAGATATTCTTTGCATATATGCTTTTTAGAAACCCCTTTGTGTGCGTCATAGTTTCAGAACATTTTTTAAAGATATTCTTACGGGCATTTAGCCATTTATACTTTCAGAAAACTACAATAACATTGTGGTTTATTCAAATAGTTATGTGCAGTTTGAGTTTCAAACATCAGATATACAAATTATTCAAATATCATTAACTATTGCTACAGTAGATTTTAAACTAACTTTTCCTGCAACTGCTGCGCAACTATTTTTCCCAAATAATCGAGCCAAATGAGAACTAATACTTGTGTCATGTAGGCTCTAGCTTTTTTGTATAAAATGAAGAGGGATGTTATAAAAAGAATAGTACTTTTGTAATTTCATTATTAATGTCTCAGGAATTACTTCCATTTTAGCTTCTAATTACCATTATGTAGGACATGAACTATTATTTTTTTTATTTTATATTCACTGGATGTTTTGAACAATTGTAAAGGGATATAGCACCATAGCATGGCCACTCACTGAGCAGTTGAAGAAGGACGGGTTCCTATGGGGGAAGGCGGCTACGTCAGCATTTGAGAGCCTAAAGAAGGCGATGACTACAGTGCCAGTTCTAGCTTTGCCAGATTTCACTCAGACTTTCATTGTGGAGACAGATGCGTCCGGGTACGGGCTGGGTGCAATGCTTATGCAGTCGTAGGCCCATTGCCTATTTCAGCCAGGTATTGACTGCTGGAGCTAGGTTTAAGTCAGTTTATAAGAGGGGATTGATGGCCATAAATTTGGCCATCCATAAGTGGCGACCCTACCTACTTGGGAGGTATTTCATTGTCAGGACAGATCAACAGAGCTTAAAATACTTGCTGGAATAGCGGATGGTGACAGAGGAGCATCAAAGGTGGCTATCCAAGTTGCTTTGGTATGATTTTGAGATTCATTATAAGCCAGGGGTGGAGAACAATGCGGCAGATGCCTTGTCCAGATGTATGGGGGAGCTGCAGATGGTGGCACTATCTATTCCTTTGATGTTGGATTGGGAGGCTATCAGAGAGGAAAGTGCTAGAGATGACGGTTTGGGGAAGATCGGGTCAGATTTACTAAATGAAGAGGGTAGCCATCCAGGGTACTCATTGGAGGGAGACAAACTGCTATATCAGGAGAGATTTGTGATGCCCCAGACCTCGATCCACTTCCCCAACTTACTCCAGGAGTTTCATGGAAGCGCTGGGGGGGGGGGGGGATGGGGGGGGGGGGGGCATTCAGAAGTACAGAAGATATACAGGAGGCTAGCGACGGAGCTGTACTGGAAGAGGGATGCATAAATATATAGAAGAGATGGTAGCCAGATGCGAGATCTGCCAAAGGAATAAGTACCTAGCCATTTCAGCAGGAGGATTACTACAGCTGTTAGCTCTATCGAGAAGAGTGTGGGAGAAGATATTTATGAACTTCATAGATGGGTTGTCCCGCTCAGAGAGATTCACAGTGATCTTAGTGGTGGTGGACAGGTTGAGCAAGTATGCACATTTCATTCCCCTCCGACACCATACACCGCAGTGACAGTAGTGTCAGCTTTCATCAGGGAGGTGGTCAGATTGCACGGAGTACCAGAGGGGATCGTATCATATAGGGATAAGGTGTTTCTCAACCATTTCTGGAGGGAGTTGTTCAGATTACAGAGGACAATCCTTAAGAGGGGCACAGCTTACCACTCATAGACGGATGGCCAGACAGAAGTAGCAACATGAGCTTGTAGATGTACCTAAGATATTTTGTGTAAGAGACATCCAAGCTATGGGTTAAGTGGCTATCATGGGCTGAGTACTAGAATAACACATCTTTTCTTTCGACTTCACAGATGACCCCATTCAAGGTGTTGTACGGATGGGATCCCCCATACTTGGTGCACTTTAGGAGTACGTAGCAGTACTCCCATTTCTTTAGTAGAGGAGTACTTGGAGGAGAGGGACTGAGTGCTAGAGAAAGTAAAGAGGCATCTACTGAGAGATCAACAAATTATGAATAAATAAGCGAATGGGCATAGGACAGACATCCAGTTTGAAGTGGGAGAGAGGGTGTTCTTGAAACTCCGACCGTATAGACAGAAGACAGTCGCCAACAGGAGTAATGAAAAGTTGACTCCAAGGTACTTTGGGCCTTATGAAGTGCTGGAGAAGATTGCGGCAGTAGCATATTGACTGAAATTACAACCATCGGTGACTATACATTCGGTTTTTCATGTCTCGCAATTGAGAAAGGTCATTGGTGACTACACAGCCAACCCCGAGCTACTGGCGACACTTACTGAGGATTTAAAAGTGGTTCTGGAACCCTTAGAGCTGATGGGGGTTCGCTAGAAAGAAAATGGAACTAAAGAAGTGTTGATCCAGTAGAAGGACCTCCCTGACTACGAATCCATGTGGGAGCCATACGAGAGGACAAAACAACAGTTTCTGGGTTTCACCTTAAGGACAAGGTGGTTCTTTGGGAGGGTGGTATTGTTAGTCGTCCATTGGGCCGGTTCAGCACGTGTACAAGAGGCGGAAGTAGTCTGCCTCCCCCTTCGTTTTTTCGACCCTTGGGTGGGTCCCACCCAGCCAAGCAATTTCAAAGTGGAAAAGGGTTGCGCGGCTAAGGCTTTGGGAGGGAAAATTGATTAGGAAACCTTTTGTATTAAAGTGCATGAGAGGATTATGGGGAGATATATTTTGATTGATTGAAAATTAGGGTTCTTGGTGTTGGGCTCTCTTGTCTAGAGATTTGGGAGAGACAATCCTCCTCTCAAATTGAGGATCTCTTGTATCTTGCTTGATGTTTGTTTCCCTTTGCTTTCAATAAGACATTGCTATCGTGTGATTGTTCTTCCATGACGTTTTCTACGTTTTTCTAGCTGTTTTATCGAACTTTGGTTAGGTTTGCTTGCGAACTCAAGTAGATCCGATAGGATTACTTGCGAACTCAAGTATTTCCTATCAGATTTATGTTGGGTAGGTCTACTATGGAAGCTATACATTTATTGAGAGGTTTGATGGATAAGTATAGAGAGAATAAGAGGATCTACATATAATATTTATTGATTTAGAGAAAGCTTCTAATAAAGTTTCAGGAGAAGTGTTATAGAGAGTTCTAAAAATGAAAGAGATTAATAATACTTATATTCAGGTCATTAAGTATATGTATGCAGGAACTACTACTGGTGTTCAAAAACAAGGTGACTTGATCAAGTATTTTCCTATTTCATTTGGATTATTATATCTTGGGATTATATCAAAGATAAAGTTTGAGCCCATATCTTTTTCTTTAGTCATGGATGTCTTTACTAGACATTTGCAAGAGGATGTACCATGGTGTATGTTTTTTGCTGATGATATTCTTCTTGTTGATAAAACTTGAGAATGAGTTGAAAGTAAACTTGAATTATAGAGGTCAGCCTTAGAGTCTAAAGGATTTCGTTTAAGTGGATCCAAAATCGAATGCATGGAGTGTAATTTTAGCAGTAATAAATCTAGTGGGGGTTGTGACATTGGGCGATCAAGTCAGTAATAAGAGTACACATTTTAGATATCTCGGGTCTATTGTCCAGAGTGATGGTGAAATAAATGGGGATATTATAACTAGAATTCAAGTTGAATTGTTGAAGTGGAGGAATGCATCAAGCCTATTGTGTGATAGAAAAGTACCCCTCAAACTTAAGAGAAAATTCTATAAGATTGTCGTGAAACCTACAATGCTTTATGAAGCAGAATGTTGGCCATTCAAAGAAAATCATAAAATTTAGCTAAGTGTTGTAGAGATGAGGATGCTCAAGTGGTTGAGTGATCCTACTCTTAGAGACAGAATGCAAAACAAGCATATATGTGAAAAGGTTGGAGTAGCTCCAGTGGCAGATAACATTAGAGAGAGTCGTCTTAGATAGTTTGGCCACATAAAATGTCGGCCTTCTGATGACCTGGTTAGGAGAGTAGATGTATTAGACTTAGCCTATGTTGACCTGTGCAAAGAAATTAAAAAAAAAAGAAATCAAATACCTCATCTGCTCCTGCCCATTCCCCACGATCTTGGCATGACTCGCACGACGCACGTCGCCGCCCACGTCGCACGACCCTTCACCTCACCTCGCGACGTTAAAAAAAGTCGTAAAAACGAGGCCTTCGGCCTCTCCAAAAAAGTTCTCTCCCGCTCGCTCCCGCTTTTCCTTTCTCGCGGCTGTGAAGATAACTTTCTCTCTTGCGTGTGCTCCCTCCTCGGCTCCTTCGTAGCCGTGCGACTTTGCTCCTCTGATAACACTTCATGTAGAGTCGGAAGTTACGAGATTTTGATCGGAAGCTAAGGTGAGAGCTCGATTGCTGTGAAGAGATAGAGAGAGAGAGAGAAAGAGAGAGAGGAAGAGAGAAGCCGGCCTACCTCTACCACCGTCCGACCCCGCTCCTTCTACAACTTTCCCTTTCTGTTGGACCGAAAGTTACGACATTTTGTTCGGAGCCAAGAATGGGAGCTCGCTGTGGAAGGTAACTTTCTCCCTTTCACGCTTCTTTGGCTGGATCACGTGAGCAGAGAAAAGGGGTGGGGGATTAAAATATTTTAATTAATGTTAATAAATGATAATTATTATTTAATTATAATTATAATTAGTTAATAAATTATGATTAATTAATAATTATTAGTTATAATTATTTGATTAATTATAATTAACTCCGTTTAAGAAATCGGCACGGCGCTTGCTACGATTTAAGAATCCCTCTTCAATGCTAGCAACAAGCCAGCAAACCCCCTACACCCTCACAAAGCGTTGTAGGAAGGGAAATCGGTGCAGCGCTTGCGGCGAAGGGGATAAAAAATGTGCTTATATATATATATATATATATCCCTGAACGCACACGTAGTGCAGAGGGGGGAAATCTGTGTTCTTTCTAACTTGTGCTCCAAACCCTTAAACACTCACATAGCAGGCGGGGATAAAAAAATAATATGCGACCACGGTGTCATTTTTTACACCTACCTGAAGCGCTCACGTAGAGTCGAGGGGAAGGTTGCCTCTTGATTTTTCCCCTAAACGGAGGAGACGCCGGGAGGCTGCCGAAATTTCCACTGAAACCGAGGACTTAAACAAAAAAAAAAAAAAAAGGGGATTTGAACTTGGTCTGAATTTGAACCCAAGAAGACAACATGGAACATAATTTGAATGATCAAAAGAACCTGGACATGAATCAAATTCAAAGAATTACAGGGGACTCGAACAAATGGAAGAGGTTCATTAAGGACCTAAACTATACTCAGACTAAAACATAAATTTGTGGACTTGGACTTGGATTCATTTGGACACAAAAGGACCTACAAAATACTTGAACCTAAGTAAAATAAAATTGAATACAAGCTTGGACTTGCAACAAATAACTACGGGACTCCGAACTGAATCAATCGTAGACTGCAAGAGACTTGTAAATTTGATGAACTCAAGTCTAAATGAAACTGAGATCAGAACCAAACAAAGAATAGAGCCTGAATCATGTGCGAAGGAACTCAAACTACAAGAATATTCATGCGGTCAGTAATGACTCAATGTCAGATGAAATATTGGATCGGGAGCGTCATACCTGCATGAATGAAATGCATGGGTGTCCCTCCTACATGCAATATTGGAATCTCCTACGATAATCCCTACAAATGCCTGTTGATTAAAGAAGACAATATTGTCACCTGATAGTAGAAGATCTGCCCTTGCAATCAAGTATGTCAAACCACATGAGATCGGTGAAAGGTAGATATGATACTGATGTAAATGGCTCTTCTACGAATACTCCTAAAAGGTCGTAGTGGATACAACGGTTCCCTATAAATGAACACAACCTTTGTGGATAACAACAGTGTGTATATCGTAGGCACAACGAATCACTGTGGACATAAACAAAGATGTCACCTACAACGATGGTGACCAAGATCTACAAGTACGTCGGGTACAAGGGAAACCTGTTATACGAAAAAGGGACACCTCTTGACAGAATGGAAGAAATGTTTAAACAAATTAGAACTAAACTTGCTGGTGTTCCAAAGTCTCTTCTTAGTTCTATATTTAAGAAGAAAATAGCTCTGGTGTCCACAAACACCGAAAATAATAAATCTACTATATTGATGATCCTGAAAAGAGTCCCTTTCAAGGCAGCAGCCATGAATTTCAAGGAAACCCTCCCCGATGAATGAGAAAAGGGGAGACAATATCAAGATGAGGAGATGCCTTATAACATTAAGACCATAATGCCACCGGATCTGCAACACTTATGCAAGCAGACAGAAGGCGTCTACAATCTACATCGCACCGCCATCGGATCTGCAACACTTATGCAAGCAGACATAAGGCATCTACAATCTACAACTCACCGCCACCGGATCCGCAACACTCGTATTAGCGGACAGAAGGCGTGTATAAGCTCTCAAATAAAATGTTGTACACTCAAATGACAGTTGCCTGTATAACTACAACTAATTCAAAGAACCCCTGCACGTGCACTATAAATTGTATACACATATGTACACTAAAGGGGAAAATACAATCACCCGCATAGGCCCCGACGAACGTGTTATTGGTACACACGTGACATCTAGGGATGTTGCACGGGTCGACAAGTGAATTCAAGTTCAAACCCAATCCTTCTATACGGATCTATAGGAGTCAACAGGGTTCAAACCTTCAAACAAATACACGGTTGTGACGACTAATGTATTTGTTTAAATACATTCATGATATTAGGCCTTCAAAACCTATAATCAAGAAAAGTCATAAACAAAGGCACAAAGCCTACGAGAAATCTGATCTCTTATCGGCAAGTTGATAGGGTCAATAGGGTTTAGTCAATGAATGACCACCACACCCTGATGATGGTCGTGTTGAATAATAAACCTCAACCGGAGGAGCCCATTTCAAATACCTAAAATTCCACCCTAATACCCACAAAAATCCAAAACTCCACAGAGTCCAAAATCCAAAATCCCACAAATTTCAATTCCAGATATTTAAAATCAAAATTCAATCCATCAATTACTTAAAGCAAAACTCATCCACCCTCCGCAACAATTTGCCGAGGTGGACAAATTCAAATATAACTTCAGCTCATAAAAGAGCCAAATGTCTAGTCGAAGATATCACTAGGATCTATTCTCAAACAATCTCCTGCCAATAAGGACGTGGTACGTGTCCTCTAACCGACGATTTTGCCGCCAAATGGCACCGCAGGATAAACGGTTATGAGGACCCGGGGCCCTCCGAACTGAGTGGTTTTGCCGCCAAATGGCACCACGAAATACCGGTTATGGCCAGAGCCAATACGCTCCATAGTGGCATCAAAATCCTTGAGATATGAATCAATAGGATATGATCGATAAGGCATAAAGCCCTCTGTAGTGTCTTATCTACAAACCCATCTGCCTTCCAAAATTTACCCCGGAACTTAATCCGTTAAAACTCCCTCGTCGAAAGAAAAAGCAGACAAACAGTCGCGCGGCGGGGAGGCCTAGGCCGAATTTTCGGAGCCCACAGCCTATATTAAGAAAGGTAAAGATAGACTTAAAAAGACTTGGTTAGAAAATATTAGAAATCTCCTTTTTTTATTAGATTTAAATGAGAATTTGATTCTTTACATAACACAATAGAGAAAAAAGGATTCATGTTATTGACCCCACATAATGGGATAAGGGCTTCATGTTGTTGTTGTTGTTGTGAATCTTAGGCAATGGCTTTGAGATTGCCTGTTATGCCTTCAAAACGAACATTGCTTAAATATAATAAATGGAGATGGAAACTGTGTTTGGCATCATTGCCCATTTCTCTGCTTCCTGCATAATCTTTTTCCCCATACAACTCTTGACATCCTTACTACGAACTACCATATCACTTGCACATGCCAAAGAAAAATGGCCAATGCATTTATCCCTCAATAAATTAAGATGTGGTATGTTATCCTGAAGAGTTGCTTCAATGCATTGTGCAGATTAAGTTGAAAGCTACTTAGCAGAATACCTAGGAGTAAACCTAGATTTAAGAGTACCATAAAGGACTACATTTGATCCATGAGAAATAAACTTATAAATCTAACCTCGAAGTGCTCAAAACTTAGAAAGAAAAGATGCTTTCATAGAACATTAGCACATTGTGCTATGAATGTACTATAACAGAAACTGTATAAGGCATGCAACTCTATGCAGAAACAGCCAATCACATGAAAAGTGTATACATCCTGTTCGGGTTACCTTCAGTCAGTAACTGATTGTTGTGATTCACTTGATGCATCATAAAAGGATAGCCCGCTACATTGCCTTGATGTATATTCTCCATGGTAGAAGAATTTACCATCTTTTCCTGATGATAAATACATAATCAAAATTTCAAGCTCACAATAACATAGAGAGATATACATTTGAACAATTTCAGCTGCTACAAAAGTTTCAAGCAAGAAAAATCATGAAAGATACATTTCCGTTGCTAGTAAAAGTGCAAAAGCACTAAGTGCACGTAATATAGTTGATAATGCATAATTAATAAGTGAGAGCTTTTAGACATTATCTAGAGTTCAAAATAGAGTACTTTTACTTGGTTTTTTTCATTTTAGAAAATAAAATTTCAAGCCTTGATCTATTGTTCATAGTTTCAAAAGCGTGCTTTTATCGTAAAAATATAATCTATCTATAGAGAAAGAAGTTATAACTTTCACATGCATCCTTCTCTATTAATTAACCTATTTTGTTATGCGTTTCAAGAAGAGTTTTTGTTGCTCCGTATCTTATACAATTTTTATGCACCTTTTTCATATTTCTTCTACACAAATCTCAATCACCGTTGCTCGTTTTAGCTTGCATAAGATCATTATACATGACATAATGCCACAAAAATCTGGCATTCAAAACCAACACCCTATAGTTAAGCACTTAAGCCTTATTATTTTACTTTATTCCAACACATGATAGAGCATAACTAAAAGGATGTTATAAATAAAAACAATAAGAGAATGTCGTTAAATAAATTTATGAAAAAGCAATACAATATTGAACTTAAAACTTCTTTGTTCCCTCATAAAGAACTTGAAAGTAGAATCACAGAATGCAATGCTATTATGATCTACCAAATTTTTGCTTTACTTTGTTCATTAAGAAAAATAACATCTCTCCTTCTACATAAAATTTGAAAATAGTAGCAACTAAGGGAGAAATATTATATATATGTTGAAAATTGAAGAAATTGTTTAGTGAAAATTAAATTCAAATTTTATTCATTGGAATCATTATATATATACATTCTAGGAGAATAAATAGAAAAAGAAAAGACTTAATTTAATTAATTATAATAAACTGAAGATAAAAGTAATTTAATCTAATTGATTCTAATAATTATATCCCACGGATTTTGGAGTCAGAAGAGGAAATCTCCAATTGTATCCAAAGGTTGCATCTCATGGATTACTGACCTATCAAAGCTGTGGGCCTCCTCCTTGTCATGTGATTCAACACTCCCTCATAAGTTAGGTTATACAGGTTGTACAATCCTAACTTGCAAACAAACTTATCAAATAGAGTGCTCAGTAGTGCCTTTGTTAGAACATTAGCAAGTTGTTAATGAGTTAGGGTACATACTATTTCAATTTCTGAGTTTTCTATTTACTTAGATATAAAGCATTTATCAAAACGTAACATGTTTTGTTGTGTCGTGATGTATTGGATCCTTGGCCATATTGATTGCATCTTGATTGTTACATTTCAACTTTATCATGCCTTCAATCTTTATAATCAGTTCAATCAATACTTGTCTTATCTAAATACCTTCACAAATAGTAAATGATAATGCTCTCAGTTTAAATTCCGCACTACTTCTAGAAATAACATATTGTTTCTTGCTCATCCCTGTTACTAGGTTCCCCCACACAAATGAACAATATCTTGTGGTCGATCGACTGTCAACCTAGCTTCTTGTCCAATCTGCATCAGAATAAATGATCAATTTTATATCTTCATTTTTCTTGAATAATAGCCCCTTTTTAGGAGTGCTCTTGAGATATCTCAAGATTTGATACTGCCTCCATGTGCCCCTTCATAGGATTACTTATATATTGACTCACCATGTTCACAGCAAACCCAATATCTAGACGGGTGTGGGAGAGGTATATAAGCTTTCCTATCAAATATTGATATCTTCCTTTATCTACTGGAATCCCCTCTTTTTTTATCCCAAGTTTCTTCTTAGGATCCATAGGTGGTTGGTCTATATCCCAGCAAGCCGATCTCTTTCAATAGGTCTAAGGTATAATTGCATTGGGAAAAGAATATACCTTTTCTTGATCGAGCTACCTCCAGACCAAGAAAGTATCTAAGTGATCCTAGATCTTTAATTTCAAACTCCTTTGACAAATCCTGTTTGATCTTCATTATTTCCTCTATATCATTTCCAGTAAGGATGATATCATCCACATATACAATCAATACTGCTACCTTGTTTCATCATGACTGCTTCACAAACAAGGTACATCTGTCCGGCATTATCTAAAACCATGGCCTTTTACATACTTTGATAATCTTCCAAACCATGCTCTAGGAGACTAGTTTAATTCATACAAGGATTTCAGCAATTTACAACTTTTTCCCTTTTATAAGACTTCTGAATCACCATTGGAATCTCCATGTAGACTTCTTTAAGGTTCTCATTCAAGAATGCATTCTTGATATCTAATTGATGTAGTGGCCATCTAAATTTAATGTTAAGGAAAGAAGAATCTGGAAGGTGTTAAGCTTAGAAATAGGAGCAAAAGTTTCCTAATAGTCTATTCGATAAAATTGAGTGAATCCTCTTGCAACCAATCTAGCTTTCAGCCTCCCAACACTACCATCCTCCTTATGCTTTACGGTGAAAACCCATTTACAGGTCACAACTTACTTTCTTGTTGGCAAATCTGTAATTACCCATGTTTTATCTTTCTTCAAGGCCATAATTTCTTCGTTAACAGTATGTTTTCATCCTGGGTGATTCAAAGCTTCCTGAACATTGATTGGAATCTATACATCATCCAACTTGGAAAGGAAGACTTAATAAGTGTCTAATAATCTGTTATAGGAGAGAGCTTTGATTGGATGCTTGGTGCATGATTCTTTCTGGCCATTTGATGACTCTATCTCCTTTTGAAATTCCACATTTTTCTCCTCTGTATGAATCTCTATAGTTGCTAGATCCATTGCAAAAGATTTGATAGGTGCAAGATGTGTCTCACTGCCCTACATATGTTGATTTTTCTTCTTTTCCTTGAGTATACATATTTAGTTGTTTCTTAATTGTTGCTCTTTGCTAGGTTGATCAGGACTTATGGGTAGAGGTAATGGTCTAAAGGTGAAGGTTGAGACATAGGAGATATACCTTGGGAAATACTCGTGGTTTAGATTTCTTGTGATATTTATTGATTTTGGTACTTTTGTGAGTAGCATAATATATATGGCAACTTTTACAAGTTGCTATTTTCCCTCTCAACTATCCCATTTTGTTGAGGTATATACGCACATGAACTCACTTGGATTATCCCTTGGCTTGATAGGTATTCTCTCATGATAGAATGAAAGTACTCTCCTATCATCATACTTTAAGATTTAAATTTTAGTTTTGAATCATCAGTTAAACTGACTTGAATATACTTTCAACTTTAAATTTTTCCTTCATTAAATAAACCCAAGTGAGTCTAGTATGATCATCAACATAAACCACCTTGCACCACTTATATTTTTAACCTTTGAGGGTCTCCAAATATCACTATAGATCAAGGCAAAGGGTCTAGAAGGTTGATAAAGAACAATTAGGTAAGATGATTTGTTATGTTTAGCCAATTAACAAGTTTCACACTTGAACAAACTTAAATTTTTATTAATAAATAAATGGGAAAAAAAAATCAAGATGCATAAAATTTGGATGATCTAACCTATAATGCCACATGATAATCTCTCTATATTGACTGACTCTAGAATAACTCTCAACAAACTGACTCACAATAGGATGATTTTTAGCAGCAATTAAGGATTTCGATGTCTTGATATAGTATAACTCATAACACATCTCAGCGCTATCAATCTTCTTCTTTGAATCCAGATCCTAAAAAATACATACATTGTTGTAGAAAATTGTTAATCAATTACTGTCACGAGTCAAGTTACTAATGAAAATCGTATTGCACTCAAGATTAAGCACATAAAACACCAATTTAAGGGTGATAGCTTCTGTGAGAAAAGAGGAATCAGTTCCCAAGACTTTGGATGTTGAGCCATCAGCAACCTTAACTACTCGATTTGAATGATAAGGTAGATAGTCATGGAGTGTAATGTCTCCTGTGATGTAATCTGATGCTCCTGAGTCAATAACCTAAAAATTTAACTGTTTTATATCTAAGTGAGCGTGTAATGAAAGCCTTTAGACTCTAATGTTGACCTCCATAATTCAAGTTTACCTTCAACTCTCTCTAGACTTATCAAAAAGAAGAATATCATCAGCAAAAATCATACATCAGGGTACAACCTCTTGCAAATGTCTACTGAGAACACTCATGACTAAAGAAAAAAGATATGGGCTTAAGGATGAACCTTGATGTAATCCAATTGAAATAGGAAAATACTTGGTCAAACCACCTGGTGTTTGAACACAAGTAACAGCCTATGCATACATATCCTTATTGACTTGAATAAGCATTATTAACTCTTTTCTTTTCTAGAATATTCCATATCACTTCACTTGAAACTTTATAATATGCTTTTTCTAAATCAATAAATAGCATATGTAGATCTTCCTTGTTCTCTAAATTGTTAATCAATTACTATCACGAGTCAAGTTACTAATGAAAATCATATTGCACTCAAGATTAAGCACATAAAGCACCGATTTAAGCGTGATAGCTTCTGTGAGAAAAGAGGAACCAGTTCCCAGGACTTTGGATGTTGAGCCATCAGCAACCTTAACTACTCGATTTGAATGGGTAGATAGTCATGGAGTGTAATGTCTCCTGTGATGTAATCTGATGCACCTGAGTCAATAACCTAAAAATTTAACTGTTTTATATCTAAGTGAGCGTGTAATGAAAGCCTTTAGACTCTAATGTTGACCTCCATAATTCAAGTTCACCTTTAACTCTCTCTCTAGACTTATCAAAAAGAAGAATATCATTAGCAAAAATCATACATCAGGGTACAACCTCTTGCAAATGTCTAGTGAGAACACCCATGACTAAAGCAAAAAGATATGGGCTTAAGGATGATCCTTGATGTAATCCAATTGAAATAGGAAAATACTTGGTCAAACCACCTTGTGTTTGAACACAAGTAACAGCCTATGCATACATATCCTTATTGACTTGAATAAGCATTATTAACTCTTTTCTTTTCTAGAATATTCCATATCACTTCACTTGAAACTTTATAATATGCTTTTTTTCTAAATCAATAAATAGCATATGTAGATATTCCTTGTTCTCTTTATACTTCTCCATCAAACTTCCATAGTAGACCTACACAGCATTAATATCACAATGCAACCTATACGCCATAACTCTCTAAATATGTTAAAAACCAAGAAAATATAAGAATTAAGAAGGCAAGAAAGTTGGAGAAAATAATCTAAATTTCAAAAATAGAGATATGTCAATAAAAAAAGAAAAAATGGAATGGAATTTAAATTTCAATAATTAAAATCTATTGAAGGTTATGAATTTTTAATATTTATACAAAATCAATGAAATAACAGATATATATATATAATTTAAAATAAATGGAGAAGAGTTTCCTTTTAAGTAAAAGGTTAAGCATCTCTATTGATGAAATACAGAAGCCGCTTTTTAATAATAATATAAATAACATTGAAAAGAAATTAGCAAAGAAGGGTGAAATCATATAAACATAAAATATTTAGTCTGGGATTAAAAAACAATTGTCGACAGGACTGTTCTCTTCAATTTTTTCGTTTGTTTATTGCAATTTGGGGAATAGAGGTCGTTTACTTCGTCTCCTCAAACAAATTACATTATCTATTTTAAACAAAACATTATCTCAAACATAACAGCATTTGCTCAGCAAGGACCAAATGTCAACAAAACATTGAGTTTAGAAGCAAGGTCCCTTGCAAATAGCGTCAAGAAAAACAACATCAATCACAAAATTTAAGATTTCATTCATAACGAAATATGTTATGATGGATTCAATCACCTTTCTGTCTTTAAGCTTCTTTCCAGTATAAAATTCTTCAAGTTTTCTCCGTTTGTCACTTTCCTTCCTCTGTAAAAGTGAGCAGAAAAAATTTTACTCAGTAAAACCTAAATTCCTTAATAAGCAGAATCTATATCAATTCAACAACAGAAACGAAAAGGTACACGGTCAAACTCATTTTTATCTTTTTTTATTTTTATTTTTATTTTTTTTTTTGGAGCTTTCTATTAAGTCATCTGAGTAAGCCAATAGCAAACAATTCTGGACACTCATTTAGGAGCTTTAAGTAGGAAAACTAAAACATTTCTGGTAATCAAACAAATATGATAAGTTAATATCTTGATGACGCCATGATAATTCACATCAGCTTATAAATTTACTCCCCACAATTACTTCTCACGCATCAAAATCCTAAGACAGAACATTTTGATGAAAAAGAGAGGCTGGAGCAGTTCCAAATGGTAAGGCAATAAATAGAAACCGATGGTGAAATTTCCCGTGAGCATATGTCCTTCATATCTAGGGGGGTTGGGGTAAGTTCATAAGAAAACACTTGGTGATAGAGAGAGGTGTACGGCTTCCAATTTGTTGGACAAAAAAAGTATTTTTCAGAGAGATCCTGATGGTAGTTTGATGATCGCCTTTCTCAAAAACAGATAAGATCAAGATGAAGCAATGCAGAGAGTAACCCAAACCTCTCAAAGAAGGCTCAGCTACTATGAGAGCTTAAAAACTTAGCCAACCAAAATCAAATGGAATAGTAAAAATAATAATATTCACTCGCAAGAAACAAGACAATTCTAAACAATTAGATGAGGCTTAGTAGCAACCTCGACAGGCCATTTTGGATGTTAGACATGCCAGCGAGAATTATTTCCTATGAAAAGGTAAGAGGCAAAAGGTACAACAGCATCAATCTATAGCTCAACAGGTTAATATCAAAAGAAAAGGTTACAGAGGTAGAATATAAAAGATCGATTTATGATAAAGCAGAAAACATCACAACTGTGTTTCATCAAACTCACACTCATCCAACGACACCTCAATGCCACATCCCTTACAGTCTTCTCAGGCAGAAGAGCAGCAATTTTGATGTACTTCAAAATGCTGGGTTGATCAGCGTATCTGCCATGCAAACTAGTATTAGTTTAGGCATAAATCTAGAAACAATTCTCTAAAAATTTTTAAAGAACAAAATTTAAAACATTCAATTCGGAAAACAATCTTTGCATTGCTACTTTAAGAACTCCTATATATTAAACAGGCAGAAGTTTGGAAAGAATTCAAACAAACAAATGAATCACAGAAGCCAAACAGAGTTGAAAAGCTACTTACTTGATGAGCCCATGATGTAAGATAGCCTGTTCTTTGTAGGACCAATCTACAGCTAGACCTGTATCATGCTTCAGACCAGCCATAGGCTCAAGGAACAAACTGCTTTGGGAATTCCCTTGCAACATCATGGAAGATGTGTTGTTCAAAATACTACTAGGGTTCCCAGCCCGCACCATACCAGATGAGCTACTAATCCCTCCTGAATTGTTAATTCCTCCTTGAACAACACCAGCTGTGCCATTTACTGCCCCCGACTGGAAAGAAACTACAACTTGATTGCAGAAGGATGAAGGAAAGACTCCATTATGAAAGCTCATATTAGAATCAGCTGCCATAATCATAATCAACAGCACTAGTACATTCCACAACAGTAAAATTATCTTGTAGATAGGAACTAATCTGATTCTTGATTGTCAAGTCCACCAATGCACTCAGAACCCTGATCTTGCACACAATTTGAGTACAAAAAACAGCCAGATGCTTGCGTCCACAAATTCACCTCTGTTGAAAAAACTTATGAGTTCGGGTAATCTGATAGCCTTGATCTTGTAAAAAAAAACAAAAAACAAAACAAAACCTTGAAACATGCAACTAGTAAGCCTCACGAATTATTTCACGTAAGTGTGCTCTCCGCAAGTCGGAAAAACCTCCTTGAAAGCCGAATGAAGCGATAACAATAACTCCTCTAATATAGAACATCTATATTGCCAATTGGTAGTAGATTCTATACAAACTTCGCTAATTCCAACCGAACGAAGACAAAACGGCCGATTCGTTAACATGAGGCCCTGGCTTTCTTATCCAAAGCCATTGCACCATCAAATTATATTTTTTAAGAGGAAAATAAAATCAGACAACAAAAGCGACAAACACGTCCAATCCAATTTTACCCAGGCGCGTGCCCAACCAAAAAGCGGGACAATCAAAAAGCAAATCTATTGCTTTATTCAACAAAACTTAGCCAGATCATAAACCCTAGACAAACACCCGAAAGCTCAGGCGCTCGCATAACCAATGGAACTAACTCATCAAAAAGCTTGAACTGGTTAACCAGGGAAAAAATAAAGATAAAATGATAGAAAGAAGCCTGTCAAACCTCTAAAGTTCAGCTATCTTCCTCCGAACCAGAATCAAGTAGTTCTTCAAGCAATCGACCCAGCTATTCTTTTGTTCCTCTGCTGTTCTGCTCCTTCCAAATGGGATGGCAGAGAAGAAGGTTGAGCCGCTCTTTTTAGCCTAAATACCGCCGCTAAAAAGAATCAGGTCTCAAAGGAATGGGAATCCAGGTTCCAGCATTCGATGCCAATAATTGTGGACTTTCGCCACCACCACCTTCCTCGTCTCTCTCCTCCCACCTTCCTCGATTAGTTTTATCGTTTTTATATATCTTCTCTTTCCTTCCACCTCTCTCTCTCTCTCTCTCTCTCTCTCTGCTTTTCTTCGTTTGGTTTCTTCCCTTGCCTTTCTGCAACTGGCGTGAGTGCCCATCCATCCCGTTCCACTTCCAGCACCCGATGCTTCCGTAGGGAAGAGTACGAACTTGCCCTGCTATTGGAAACAATTACTAGAATGCCATTTCGCGGCAAAAAACGGCTATAATAAAGCGTGGGGCCTACCTTTGGGTGCTGGATCACGTGATCACATACAAGATCACGTGTGAGTAGGCCGGGTTCGGGTGAGCCGATCCTGCGGCTGGGGTGTCCCCATCAAACCCGCCTCCTTTAATAATTTTGAATCTAAATTTCACCACCGGTGAGATATCCCAAATCACTATTCTTCTCTTATTTTAATATTGAATGCATTTTTTTCAGGTTCCTTTTTCTTTTCTTTTCAGATTTTTTTTTTTTTAGGAAATTGGGGCAGAAATCCCATATATTACTATGTAAAGATGAATTACAAGTAAGGTATAATAAAAAGCAAGGCTGTGAAAACCGGACCGGACAACGAACCGGAAGAATGAGAGGTTCACGGTTCGACCGGTTAAACCGGTCTAACCGGGGTCGAACCGGATGACATAATAAATAATAAATATTATTAAAATTTAATAAAATTAACATAATAATAATGTTATCATTCAAAATTTAAGGCAAAAAATTAAATTAAAAAAAAAACTATGAAACATAAATTTTATATAATTAAGTAAAAGAATTATATTAAAATCTCACATAAAAGAAAAAAATTCTAAATCTCATATTTATAAAAATTTACACTCATAAAAATATGATAATTTAAAATTTAAATATTTTTTAAAACTTGCGTTTTTTGTTGATAGATCCTAAGCTAGATTGATGGGAAGGTAAGTTTACCAGTTGTTCTAGTATCACACCCAAAATCCAAATGGCTAACATACTTTTTAATCTATTCGCCAACCACCAATGAATAAAAATAACCTTCCCTCTACTTGAAAATGTGCCCTTATTTATTCAATAAATAAAAAAACATGTATAAAATACTCTAATTATTTAAATAATTTAATAAAATTATTTTTAAAATAAATATATAAATGAATAAGTTAAATATTAAACCATTTGTTCATCTCATTTGCTATTCAACCAATAGCTCATCATAAGGTCCATCAAAATCTTATTTAATGATTATTTTATTATATTTTAAATAACTTATTATATTTCTTATATTATTTTTTTTATTTTTAAACCCTTTAAAAATTATGCATATTATATAAAGTATAATAATGACGTTAATATGAAAAAATGACAAAATATATAAATTAAGATGTTTTTATAAATGTTTAACTTACATCAAATAGTAGAAATAATATTTAGCGAATAATCTAAATTTTACTCAAAACTCATAAATATGTATTTTCTTAGTAAAGCAATATTTATGTTTAAATCATTTGCATGAAAAAAATATAAATATTTAGATTTAATTAAAGCTTGAGTAGTGATCTAATTCTATAAAATAAATTTGAATAATGATTTATGTTTCTTTTGGGACAGCTTTTTTACTACTTTCTAAAATAGATTTCTAATATAAAAATTTTTAGTTTAAAAATTTTTTATATTAAAAAGGTGCTTCAGAAAACTGAAATTTAATGAGCTTTCTCCTATTAAATTTTCTTAAGATTTTAAGAAAAAAAAATTTAAGATATTTACATGAAATATACATAATATAAAACTAGAGATATAATCATATAATATAATGCTTGAATCTTAACATTAAAAGAAAAAAAAAATATTTTAACGATAAAATTAAGAAAACTGAAATTATTCTTATTTAAATATTCAGGACATAAAAATTTGATATTTTATTTTAAAAAATAATTAATATCATATATACTCAAAAAAAAAAAACATACAGATTATTATTTTTTCTAAACGAACCTCTCTAAAAAACATTTGCTTTGCCGGAATACATCTAAACATAACGTCAAATCAAACGTCCACATAATTCAATCTGGCCAGACCAACGGTCTGATGGCTATTGAAAGGGAAATTTGGTACGATAGATTGCAGCCAATCACAACTGGAAGCATAATACTATACCCTTTTATTTTTTATTTTTCAATTCTTTATTACAATATTACCATTTTGTCTCTCGCATGAGAACAGCTGTGTGTAATTTTATTTTGAGTCCTAAATTTTGGAAAAAAAAAAAAAACGGGCTACGCGTTTTAGTCCAGAAATTGACAAATCAGCTGGTTTATGCCACGCGTCGGTTTCATTATAAGACACGTCATAGTATTTTTAATTTTTTACACGACGGCATGCTTGGTAAGCCTCTGCGCTGTCGAGCATCCATTGGTGAGACAGAGCGGTTTGGCGTACGCGTGGCAGTTTTGTATTGGCGTATTGTGGCGGCTAATGGAAGCCGTTGGAGCGGCAAATTGGGTAAAAGCTGCACGTGGGTCAGTGCGTTTCCCGATGTTTTTTTTTTTAAATGATGACGGAGATCCATTCAATTTGTAAAATAAAATATGTTAAAATATTAAATATAGCAATTTTAATATAAATTTAAAATTTTACAATTTTATTTTAAATATTTTCATTAAATTTAAAATATTATTAATTTTACAGATATTGCAAAAAAAAGATTTATATTATTAGAAGTTTTTATTCTCTAACAATGAAAAAAAAAAAACTGATTTTAAATTGATTTAATTATTTTTAACTATATCCTAATCTTACTGTTTAAGCTGTACTAATCTAAATCTAAAGTAGATATAATGGCACATTTGATAATAATAGTAGGATTGAAGGTTGTTCTTGTAACACCATGGTTAGTGCACTACCAAGGGTTAGTTTTTTTTATTATTTCAAGCTTTTTTTTTTTTAATGCTGATGGAGTTTTATTAAATTTAAAGAAAGTTTTAATATATATATCACTAAATTTTTATGTGTTGAATTCTTAAATTTTAATGTCTATTTATGTAATATTTTAACATTTAATCACAAGAAAATATAACTATGAAAATTTATATTTAATTTTAGAAACATTAATAATATTGATATTTTAATGCCATTATATATAATGATGGCATATAAATAAATATTAGAAGGTATATATTAGATATATATAAATATAAGCATTCACTGTCAAGTATATAAATCCTTAAAATATGAATCGAAGCATAAAATCAATACTTAAATTACACTTTAAGCCACAAAATAATTAACATTTGACAAAAATCTTTAACCAAAAAGGTTTGAAGCATAATTTTGGAGGTTCTCATTGCAAAACTAAATTAAGAAGGATAAAAAAAAAACAAAAGAAAGGGACTCTCATGCTAACTCGAGGGGAATTATCAAAAAGAAAAAGTAGGGTTGAGCAATATAATTATTGTCTCAAAGGAGATCTCCTTAATCATACAAAATAATAAATAATTTAAAAACACAGATGTACGTGCACAATCTACTTATTAGTTCCTTGCATTTATTCACATCTTTCTAATCTTTTCTCAAATGATATATATTTTTTTCAGTAATAATTTATAATGATCAAACTAATCTTTCTTTCAAGTATTTTGGATAAAAGATTCTTTTGAGTAAGAACACAAATAAATTTTAAAGTCTATACTACATATTGATTATATCATTTGATTAATTCATTATGGTTTTGATGATATTTTCATTTCCTTTATCACTTTATGATTGTTCATTATTTTTTATGCTTTTTCATATATATACAAAAATACAAAATCTATTAAATAAAAACATTTACAAGACTATGCCAAAAAATAACTATACAATTCCGATATAAATGGGAAGCATGGAACTTTTAGAAATTTGTCATTAAAAAAAAATAAAAAATAAAAGCTTCCCATCAAAAGAAATTCAAGCTATAAACAACAAAAAGAGAAAATGATGGTCATGCCCTACCATAAGTTATTTGAAATTCCCACTAATGAATTGATTCCACTCAGCTCTGATAGCCTCTTAGCTCTTAGTTCCTTGTCATAGCCATATCACCATGACCATATCCATTACACTCTTATTGGGCCTTATTGATGTTACCAATGTATTTCATTGCGACCTGAAAAATGTATTTTTTGACTCTAAAAGCCTTAAGAGTTAAAGGGGTGATCTCTCCCTTCAGACTCATTTAGGGTATTGACACGAAATAGTGAGCATCATGGAGTTTTGTAAAGGTGTATTTTAATTTCACTATCGGAACATTGATCAAAGCTGGACATATCATCATTATAGCATTGCTACTAAATAAAATTATCTAGAAAAATAATTAGAAAATTATTAAATAATATCATATAAAATTTATTATTAATAAATCAATAATAACTCTACTCCATTTAACATCATCATAAGAATTTACCATGAATGTATAGGTCAGAAATATGAATAAAAAATAATCTCCCTCTAAATGTGATATTCCTTACAACAATAAATAGAATATAAATGATAAAATTCATTTGAGGAATTATTTATAAGATAAATATGTTTGTGCATATTAAAATTATATATGTAATGCATAGTTTTGATATGATATAAGTATTAACATAATTGTTAAATAAGAATAGCATATGGATATAATAAGTGAAGAATCGTAGATTAAGACTATTACTTTGACGAAATAGATTAACGGAAAATTTTTAGTTTAGTTGAATTCTAAATACCTAATTTACTTTAATAGGTACTATTGCATATGTGGTTTTGAGTTGTATTTATATTTTCTTCAACTTTCACTACAAGTTAAAAAAAAAAACTTAGATCTTAGAGTCATCTTGAAAATATTTTATATTATGTGCTCTTGCACTTTTCATTGTCCCTAAGGCTTTAAAGATTATATATATGTGAGCTGGATATCCGTGCAACGCTAAGACGTAGAATTATAACTCTATCGCCGCGTATATTCTAGCCCGCAACAGTAGTTATATACAATTGACCAGCTTAGTTTTTGGACCAAACCTAGAATAACCCATATATTCTGACGGATCATGTTAAGTTGGATGCGTGAGAGAGAAATTACCCAAAATCTAATTAAAATATTTTTTTATA